AGTAAATTAGAATATTAAATTTTTTTTCAGTTATTAATCAGTATCGTCTAGTAAAGACTACACGAAATTCTTTAAGTGCTTGTAAGGCAGAAAGTTTTTAACATAGCTGACTATAAAAAAAAACTGATCTGATTAACTAAAAGGACAATCGGTCGATGAATTAATTGTGCAGTTGCAGTTGCTTTATATATGAATTAAAAAAAAAAAACGATTATTTGCAATTGCAGAATCTCTAAAACAATTTTCTCTTGACAATTATTGGTATCTATAGCACAGTTTTTGATTTTCTAAGATTTTGTAATTCTGATTTTAATTTCATTCCTTCATTATTTCGCTTTTTTATGAAAGTACAACTTTGTAGAATAGAAAGTTCTCAAAGGACAGTATCATTCCTTCGCCAACTGAGATGAACAATGAACTTTATATATTTGATCTCATCACTTCAAGTTCTATATCATCCCGACACCTATATGCTGATGTGATAGCGCTTGTCGGCGCAATTGGAGGCGATCGAAAGAATGCTGTTTTGTATTCATTGTATCTGAACTACTGAATATTTTGAGTATTTTAAGATGTTGCTCAATTTTCAAGCATTTTTGACTGCCAGTTTGAATAAAAATTGTAATTTATGTTTATTCAAATTGGTAAATAACAACATGCAACAGCATGAATATTAATGAAAAGATTAATTGAAAATTATGGATTACTTGATAATAAAGTATTGTAATGATATCACTTACTGAATCACTTCCACCATATTAGACTTTTTTTAAAATGTAATGTTTTAAAGATATTTATAGTTCTTAAGAAAATGAAAATTTTCAAAACAGTAAACAGGAAGTAATTGAGCAATTAGAGAATTCTTTGATACTTCAGATCAAAAATTATTATGAACATGTTTTAATTACATCTATTTGCTCGTTTGCATGAGCTGACGTTATCAAACTGATAAGATGTGAGGTCCTTCTTGTTTATTTTACTTTCTCTTCTTGTAATTAATTGTCCTATTTGCTTGCAAAACAAACTTAAACATTATTCCACATTAAGTATTGCAATATAATTAAAATGTTAGTTCAAAATTTTCAAATTTAAAACTACTATTTTGGTATTAAACTATCTTACAACTGGCAACTTTGTCTTGATCGTTTTTCATGGGGATATGTCTTATAGTGAAAACATGCATACATTTCTAAAAAAAGCACAATGATAGATAACTAAAATTATGGGAAGAACCTGCAGGGCTTCAAGATGGCTTATTTATTTATAATTCAACCCTGAAGAACAGACCAATGGGCTCTCTTTGATAACGTGAAAAACTTTAATCTACTTGATTTTGCAATGATACTTTGTTTTTCTTTATTGAAATGCATACTTCCGTATTTTTTATATATTTTATCTTTTATATATCACGCTGAGCATAATTTCAGGAAAAGAAACGAAAAAATTCTTTTAATTGTTTTCTTAAAATTTTGAAAGCTTTCATCATTTCAAAAAATTTTGATCTTACTTTACATAATATTTCTATGCTACGGATCTATGCTATGGATCCTAGAAAATCGATGAAAATGATTTAATGCTAATAAATTTTAAATTCTGAGTAATATATATCACTGCAAAATATGTACATTGGAAACATTTTTCTCAATATACTTTTTGTTGCATTTTGAAAAATGAATATTAATTGCTATTAGACACGTGCAGTTTACAGTGCACACGGATGATGAATGTATTTTTTTGCACTATCGCTGCACATACACATATTTTTTGCAACTAATTTTAGTCAAGAGAAATCCAAAAATAAGTCTTTCTTTCACATTATGAATGACATTCAAAAAAGTTTGTGTATACGGATTTAAACTTTTTTAAGATTAAATATTGAGATCAGTGCATTTATATTCATGGCTAAGCAATAAATATTTGAATTTGCATTTAATTAAAGAATTAGCTTATTTAAGTTAATTCTTTAATTAAATGCAAATTGGTCATTTTAGGTAAAGATCCATTAATTGTGCTTAATTAGTGAATTGAACTTGCTGTTTGCTCATATTCCCTTAATTTATGCTAATATATAATTATGGGTTTTGCCTTATTGCTAAGTTCAACTGTCCTTACGATTCTTTAATTTTAAAACTTGCTTATTAAGACTAGTTGATCCGTTCAAATTCAAGAATTATGGCGAAATCAGATGAAAAATAAAGAGCATCACCAATATTCATTTTTAACCTTAAATGACATTCGGAGTATTTTTTCAAACCGGGAGTTTCAGAATGACTAATTACTTTTAAAACACGAATTTTAAAAATAAAAGTTCACAAAAAGGTTTTTTCTTCAGCTGAAAGTTTTAAAACATGAATTTTAAAAATAAAAGTTCATAACAAAAGTTTTTCTCACACTTGGGAATTTCAAAACGATGAATTGTTTTTTTCAAATATGAATTTTAAAAATCAAAGTTTGCAACAGAAAGAAGTTTGGCAACTGACTTGTTGTTTTTGCCTAATTCGTTGTTGAATGTTATTAAATCTGACCTCTAAAATTTGCAGTTTCTTTGTTTATTTTTATAAATGAGTAAATAAATTAAACAAATAACAAAGTATTCATTAGTAGCTTTAAATTTTTTGCTATGAATTTTTTCTAATTTTTTTAGATATAATAATCGTCATCTGTTTAAAGCTATAATTTGCCCACGAATTCTATGCTTTTGATTAAAGTGATTCGTCCTATCTTCTTAATTTTCCATCTGTTTGAATCTGTTACATAGTTTCTGTATTGTTTTTATCTTTAAAAATTTATTCAAATACTTCCATATTTTACCAATTTTCAATTCCAAATTAACCAATTCAATTACTGAAATAAGTGGTTAACGTGATAAAGAATCATTATCAGTATCAAACTGCGAAAACTTCCATATGTAATATTTACCCCGTTTCAGATTGTTCACAAAGTTTTCTTTTCTGAAGAGTTTGAAAAAAATTTGTCAGAACTGACGAACTTTTTTTTTGGAAAGTAGCAAGTAGATTTAATATGGGCTTATCACCGTATTTATTGTCTTTATCGTTAGCAGCGTCTTTTAATGGAAACTTTCAACAAGCATATTTATTGTCTGCATTAAATCAACCATATTTAGAAATACAACAGGTAGTTACACTTTGCTTGTTGCTCAAACTTTTAAATTTTTAAGAAATTTTAAAAATTGTAAAAATGAAAATTGGAGATTTTAATAAACAATCAAATTTCAGTTCATCAATGAGTCAATAATAGCGCGATCTGGAAAATCGATTGATCCGCTATCTTTGGATTTTCTTTGGTCGTTAGTCAATGTAATGAATCCCATTTCTGGTATTGTTGGCCAAATGATTGCCTATCTAATTTGTGATCGAATTGGCCGTCGTTTGACAGCTATCACTTCATGTCTCATTGCTATTCCTGGTATGTGCCAACGGATTTTTACTTAACCATCAATAAAAGTATCTTGGATAGCCAATATTGATAAAGTTGTTTAATATTAGCTACATTATGGCATTAGGTAGAAATTATCAAGACTTTTGCTTCATTTCGCTATCTTTTTAGTTCATAGGTCAGATGTTTCTTTCTTGCTTGTTTGCTTCTGACAAAAACAGCGCCCTAAATACCTGCAAATTTTTAGCATTATTACTTTCAATGTTGACACGGTTATGTTTCCCGTACTACGAAACGCTGATATTCGGTCGTTTTTTGTGGGGTACAGCGAATGGTATTGCAATCGTTGTACAGACTGTTTGGGTTGTTGAAAGTGCATCAGCGATACACCGAGGGTTTGTCAATTCTTGGCAAGAAGTAATTGCTACAATCGGTTAGCTCATTTCATTTCAATGTTATTAATTTTTTTTTAAATCCAAGAGTGTGTCACTTTTGAACTAAAAAGTGTCACCAATTCTTTTCTTCTTTATCTTCTCCTCCCCCTCTTTCTCTCTCAATATATCAAGTACAGAGCTGTTTCAGTACTTTTCAAAAGTATTGGAAATGATCTTATCATAAATTGAGTAATTCTGATAACGTCTATAAAACATGCTGGTAATATGATATGTTAACATTATACGACCTCAAAATTACTTTAATGCTTTCAAATTTTTAGCTTTGATATTAGTGAGAAAATGCAAAAAGTCCAGTCTCTTTTTTATAATTTCAAAAGATTGTTTAAATCTTTTTTATAATTTAAATAAGCAATTCCATAATTGCAAATTACTTGCTCAGTAGTGAAATAATTAAATATATTGTGAAATCTACAGGTAACTTATTGACGCAGTTAATTGGAGTACCCCTATCAACACCTGAGCTATGGCCATTTATGTTCGCGATGCCTCTTGTCATTACCGTTGTCTCCCTAGTAGTATTCATCCTAATGCACGAGTCACCTCAGTATGCGCTGATGTTCTCTCATAACCGCCGAGAGGTATGTTCTCTTCTTAATCAACCACATGGGTTAATATTTAATTTACACTCTATCAATTGATAGAAAAAGATACTTAAACTATTGAATTTTGTGATCATTTCCTGCAACCTTGTCATAATATAAATTTAATTGACGTTTTTTAAAAGGTAAAATGTCAAATTCAGCAAAGTTTACCAGGCCCGATTGATTTTATATTTATAATTTCAAAAGATTGTTTACATCTTTTTTATAATTTAAATAAGCAATTCCATATATACTTAAATTTTTTTCAATTTTATTTTATAAAAAAATGAATAAATTTTTCATTCCAATTTTAATATTTCAAATTTAAGCAAAAATAAGTTTATGATAAAATGAAAACTGTTTTTAAAACGAACTCACTGCAGGCCGCACTTGCCATTCGTGCCTATCACGGCCTAAAAAGTGATATAGAAATCGATGAACAAATAACAAAGTATGAGGAGGATGGTCAAAGGAAGGAAGAAGAGGAAAAAGGTATAAATAATGCAAGACAACCGAATGGTTTAGAAATTATGTTCATGCCATGGAAGGCGAATGATCCACTTTCGATAATTGTACGATTCGGGGCTTGGGTCGGGATTATGGTCAAGGTAGATTTTTGGTATCTCAATATCAGCCAGACTTATACACACACAATTTCAAATATGTTTTCCAGACTCGCAAATAAAACCGTACAAAAAGATATAATGATGTATAATGTATTTCAGATTGCTTATGTATTTACGGGAGCACGAGTTCTTCGATCATTTAATACCTTTATTTATCATAATTTGGGCAAGTGGACAAAAACATTCTCTCAGGTTGTGAAAAGTAAAAATAAAAAAAATAATAAATCATTGGCAAAGTTATTATATCATAAGGGTATTCAAATAGCCAAATTTTCCAAACGTAAGGCTAACATGAAACATTAAACTCTTTCGTAAAGAGATAGTTTCTTTTTAATAGTTTAACCTGTATAATTTCTATTGCTTAAGTTTATTGGAGTATGTTCTATTGCTAATTTTGTTTCCATCGTACATTGAGGTGTAGGAAAATAAATAATTAGGCATAACTATGAGATAAGCTTTTCCGATGTTAAAGAAGAAAGACATTTCATATGAGAACTATCGGAGACAGCTTTAACTTTTTTTCACACTGAAGGAATGCTTGTAGCGAAAAATATTTTGTTTCGAGACAGTTTACAGATTACAGAATATTGGTCTAATAACGTATATTCCATAATTTAGAAGCATTTCTTTAATAATTGAGTTTAATTAGAATGTCTTCAGTGGGGTTCATTGGCCAATACGATTATCAGATTACCCCTATCAGTGATACCAATATTTATCATTGAGCGTGTTGGACGACGACCAATGTTAATCATATCTCAATTTGTGACCACATTAGCTCTCTCCATGACGATGGTTTCTATTGTAATTGGTAAAGCAGCCAAGGTATTATTTTAAATGTATGCAAATATTCCTTGCATACAAAACATTTTATTAAAGCCTTCAGAATTATGTTGCACTCATTATATCTTTGTTTATTTATTGTAAAATTTTATTAGCATCTGTAACCAGAAGAGCTTCTCTTCTCTTGAGACAAAATATATTTTCAGCTTGGGACACTAACAGGTGTATCGATCATACTGTTTGCAACCTCAATTGGTATTGGTTCCATATCACGGTTTTATTCGGCTGAGTTGGTACCAAAAAGTATGATACTTCGAACAGTCACCATTCTATCACTGATTGAATCATTTACTAAAATCGGCTTAGATTTTGGATTCTATCCACTTGCAACAACAACTGGCGGATATTCACTTTTAATTTTTATTCTTCCATCTATTCTATTCTTTATTCTTATACTACTTTACTGTCCCGAAACTAAGAAACGATCAATGAATGAAATCCTTAATGAAATTGCATGGAAACATGGTATTGATATAGAATTTAAAGTATAATTTCGAACAGGATTTTCTGGAATTTCAAGAAATCATTATGTGTTCAAGTTGGTTGAATATTGTTACATTAGAAGGGAGTCAGAGAAAATGAGACAAAATGGAGCAGCTCTACGGTGGAGAGATCTATGAAGCCAATAGAAGAATTTCAAAAATTCAAAAAGCCACATACCAATCTTAATTCTGACTCATACCATATTACTATCACTTTTATCATTTATAACCTTCATCATTGTATTATGCGTAGTTGAGGTGCTTTCGTGCTTGAAATTATGTTCGTTTTTAAACACTGCTTAATATAACTGTAATTGTGCTGTCGATGCTACCAACAGCTTATCACCGCAGGCAAATTTCATAAGTCAAATTCTGCTTAACTAAATGAATTGCTTACAAAACAATATTTAATGGCAAATTGGAAAGAAAATCAGTCAGATATCAACGATCTAATGATCTGTTCTTTTTCAATATGTTTTGTATATATCACTTTCACTTGAAATTACAGTTCGTTAGGAATATACTTCTTCAATAAACAATACAATATGATCTTGTCAAGTGCGCTTATTTTCTCTCTCTCTCTCTCTCTCTCTCTCTCTGTCTCTTAAATTCTGGGTAAATAAAGAGCGGAACAAAAGCTTATGATATTTGCACTGAAGAACAAATAGCTCATTTTGTCAGTAATAAAGCTCATGACTTCAAAATCAATAGAAAACTTCTTTTTTCAAATCTTGAAATAAAACTCAAATGGATAAATCATTCAATGATTGAATGATTGATGTAATATTTATTTTGCTACTGATAACCTGCAGGATCATGAAAATGGCTTAAACAATTTGTAATTCAGTCATAAAATCTGATATTGCTCTTTGCATCCATGACCAGCATTTAGATATTTAATTGAATGAATGAATGAAGGATTTTTAATACTGCGGAATCAACTTGACCTAAAATCGAATTTGCAGTCAATTCCATTATAACATTTATTCAATACCGATGTCGTGAAAGTTGTGTTGAATCGAAAGTGACGTTGAATTGAATCGGGCACCAAATTTTGTTGTTGTGAAGGTTGTGTGGAAGTGAATACGAGAGGTCGTGTTGATTTGAATATTGTGAGGTCTTTGCGGTAGGACGAGAACCCGGTTTGTAACCTCACACTTGGGTAATTAATCCTTTATTTTAAAATATGGAAACGAACGAGTAAATGAATGAGTAAAATGGAAAAATTGAATGAATTCAAGTGTGACTTGATTGAACCCAACTGAACCGAACTGAAAC